CCGTCTATAGAGGATGATCAATAGACTTCTGTAGTTTGTTTTGTGTGAGTTGCAGCATTATTTGAATATAAGGGTACTATAGTCCACTGCTGGCCTGAGTTCCTCTGGTGTATTCAATTAGAAGATGTTTCTGAATATACAGTCAAACAGTACGTAATGTTGTGAACTACTTCAGTGACAGTTGTCCAGCAGTGCTCCAATTTCATTTACAACAATCCAATACCTACGATATTGTGCCGAATGTGTGCCGAAGGTGAGCCGATGGACGAGCCCCGGCTGTGCCTAATCTAATTTCGGCACAATGTGCAGAGTGACTTAACCCTTGGGTGAAGTCTAGAGATTGATAATTGATATCTGACGCCATTTTGAAACCAAATATGGCGGCTTCCAGTTTAAAAAAAGTAGGAAATACTGTCAAATACCCATCAATATAGGTATTTTTGGATTCGGGATAATGTCCAGAGATTGAAAATCGGTATCCAACGCCAATTTAAAATTCAAGACGGCGGCTTCCATAAAATATGGGTATTTTCAGATCGAGGATGACACGTAGATGCCGAAAATCGATGTCAGATGCCATCTCTGAAATCCAAGATAGCGACTTCTGATTTCACGAAAAGTGGGAAATAATGTCAAGTACCGATCAATGTGAGTATTTCGGACTCGGGGTGACATATAGAGGCCGGAAATCGATGTCCGATGCCATCTTGAAATTCAAGATGATAGCTTACGATTTCAGAAGAAGTGTCAAATACCCTTCAAATGGCGTTGAATATCGATTTTCAGTATCTACGCGTTCCGAAAACACCCAGTATTTGACACTTTTTGCGAAACCCGATGGCCGCCATATTGTATTCCAAAATGGCATCGGATATCGATTTTCTGCATCTACGCATTATCCCCGTTTCGAAAATATCCATATTTTAGTGTATTTGAAACTTTTCCTGCTTCCAACATCACCATTATTTCCAAGCAGACTTGGATTGCCGTGGGTAAGCCTGTTATCAATTCTACAGAAGTCATCGCCGTGAGTGCATCAGGTGACAGCATCAACATCCTGGGTGAGTTCAACGGCGAAATCACCGTTCAAGACGTAACAAGACGCATTTTCGTCACAACAAACCCGGATCTCAACGTTCTCGGTATCGAAACAATCGATCAGTTCGATCTCTGGTCGGTCCCATTCAACTCGCTAGTGAACACCATACAGCACAACTCAAACGCAACCATGCAATCCTTGTAGCTCAAGTTTCCTGAAGTGTTCCAGACCTCGCTCGGATGCTGCACAAAAGCACAGGTAACGCTCTACCGGAAGCCAGATTCTCATCCTGCGTATTTCCCTAAGAGACCGGTTGCCTACGCTGCACTTCCGAAGGTTGATGCTGAGCTCCAAAGGCTTCAAGACAACGGCATCATTTCACCAGTCAAGTTCTCCGATTGGGCTGCTCCTATAGTTGTGTTTCGCAAGTCCGATGTCTCCGTACGCATTTGTGGTTACTATTCTACAGGTCTCAACGATGCCCTCAAGTCAGATCGCCATCCACTGCCACATCCAGACGACATCTACGCCGAACGAGCCGGATCCTGCTAAAACCAACGCTATCTCCGAGATGCCACCACCGATGAATGTATCGCAACTACGTTCGAACCTTGGTGCGATCAACTATTACGGACAATTCGTTGGCCAGATGAAGGAACTTCGAGCGCCGCTTGACCGTCTTCTAAAAAAGGATGCTCCTTGGAAATGGACCGCGGACTGCCAAAAGTCGTTTGACCGTTTCAAAACCATCCTGGTCTCCGATCTCCTGCTGACTCATTTCGACCCCAACAAGGAAATCATCGTCGCTGGAGACGCTTCCAAGAATGGTTTGGGCGCTGTAATCCTACATCGCTTCTCCAACGGCTCCGTCAAAGCCGTCGCTTACGTTTCGAGGTCGCTGACACCTGCAGAAGAAAACTACGGTCAAATTGAGAAGAAAGCGCTCGCGTTGGTATTTGCTGTCACCCGTTTTCACAAGATGATATTCGGACGAAAATGCGTGCTGCAGATCGACCACAAACCGCTCCTTTAAATTTTCTGGAGCAAGAACGGCATTCCCGTTTCAGCCTTGGGCGCTAACAGTTCATCCCAACGGCTAGTTTTGGACATGCCAACGTGAGGTCCCGCTTGATGAGCGGTCATAGCAAACCAGACAAGGAATACGTGATTGCTGCTCTCCAAACGGAATCTGACGTGAAGGCAATTCCCGCAGTACAACTACTACAGCGATCCACATCGAATACGCAGGTCCAGTTGATGGTTATCACTACCTCGTCGTGGTCAATGCCTATTCGAAGTGGCCGGAAATCTTCAGGTCCTGCAGTACAACTACTACAGCGAGATTGGAAATTCTGCAAGAAACTTTCGTAAGGTACGGCAACCAACACACCCTCGTTTCGGACAACGGTACCCAGTTTGTAAGTGCTCAATTCAATTCTGAAAAGAAAATGGGATCCACCACCTGACGACAGCCCCTTACCACCCACAATCGAATGGACAAGCTGAACGCTTTGTCGGCACCCTTAAGAGAGGACTGAAGAAACTCACCGGGGAAACCATGGTAACGTTCCAGCATCTTCAGACGTTCCTCTCAGTTTTCCGGTCAACTCCAAATAGAAGCGCTCCGGATGGTAAGACACCTGCCCATCTATTTTTAGGAAGACCAATACGAACAACGCTGGACCTATTGAAGCCCTGTATTCAGAGTCCAACCTTGGAGAACAAGAAGCAGAACACTTAATTCAACAGACGGCAGGTCTACGCTCAGGTCCATTGTCGTAACACAATCGATTGGATTCCAAGACAGGTAACCAGCTAAAACAACGATATCCGGATAAAAATAATGCCGATCATTCTCCACATCTACGCAATCAACTTCCCTTGGTCTTGCTAGTTGACGAGTTCCACCTACAAGCTCCGAAACCGTTGGTCCCAGCAGTGCTGATAGAAGAACCAATTCCAGATGATGAACTGCTTCCTGATGATGACGAGCCCGATGATGTAATGACGGATGACGAATCTGCTGTTCCTGCTAACAGTGTAAATATTCAAGAACCAGTTCAACAGCGTGAAGAAAGAACTCGTAGACTTCCAGCTTGGCTGGCAACCTACAATCTCTTTAAAAAAAAAGAGAGATGTACCATCGGCGTACACATCAGAAGAATATGTTGCCTGGTAGGCCATGATTTGTAGTCATGGTACGAAAGAAACAAACTGAAAATATTTTGTCAGTTTAGTTCCAACCACCGAAGAGACAAGTCGAAATATAATTAGCTCTCAAACCTAAAACCAGTTCCCTTCTCTTCGAGAACACATCAAAAGCGGTGCAACGGACAGAAATCAACGTCATCATGACATCCCTGAAGTTCACTAAATGTACACTAAACATCTTATTCAGTTTCTTAGTAGCTGATTGAACCACCTTGAAGTTCTCAAAATTTCCCTGAAGCGCCCAAAATGTTAGGAAGTTTTCAGATTTCCCGAGATCCTGGATATTTCCAATCATTCCTCGGACCTTCTTTCAAGTTCCTAACAATATGTGAACCATTCTGGAGTTCTCTAATCTATTCGTTATTCTTCTGAGTATGGGCCTTATTACGGGACACTCGCCGGTGAATACAATCGGCACCGCCAGGATTTTCTGAGGCGTCTCTGATCAAGGGAAGTAAAGCCGTTGGTCCCCGGTTCATGAGTTGATGGGTCGATAGGTAGAGTCCAGGTGCGGGAGCTGCCTTCTTGGCGTCGGTAGCATTGGTACTCAGTACGGCAAACAAGATCGACGAAAAACAAACCAAAGAAAAAAAAATAACTGTTCTGATAGTCTCTCGACGTTATTTGCAATTCCTTGAATTTGTTTGGAGCATTCAGAACATCTTTGGAACATCGTGAAACGGATTGGAAATGATGGACATATACTTTATGAATATAGGTTGGCTTATGCCGTTACTGGGATACTATTCAAGCCCTTGGAATAATCATTTGAATCGTCCTCAGAGTTCATTTTAAATTTGACTGTTGAATAGTTCCGGGCTTCTCCTTACAATCCTAGTGGATTCCACTTCATAAATACCACGTACTTTTACGCAAAATGTCCATGGAATCCTCAAAAGAACTCACCTGATGATCTCCTCGCACATCCCATTGAGTTCTTCCCAGAATTTCCCTGAAATTCTCCACGGAATTTCTTAAGATTACTATCCACAATTTCTCAGAAGTTCTGTGCTGAATACCTTTGGAATTCTTGGATGACGTGCTTGACAGAAACTCTTTAAATTCGCTATTTGCCTCACTACGTCGCTGGAGTCATTTGCATTTTAAGTACATCGATGGGAAGCTGACTTTTATTGACATTTCAATATTGCACAATTTTGACAGATAGACGTCCTAAAACTGAAACCTGTTTCTATAAGCGGACTTCATCACTATCGCTTTCTACCAAACGGATAATCACCATTATGGTGATGTGGAGGATTCCGTAAAGCAGGGATCAACTATCCCCTGCCTCTCCTACGCAGGTGGTTTGCGCATCCTATTAATGGCCACACAATGAGCCAAGTGCTGATGAGATTCCATTCATACTTCTCCGGAATTACGTTCGCCTGGTGACTCATGCATTGTGTGCCTTAGGTACTTGTGAAATCGGTTTTTCGACGCTGGCAGTAAATGATAAGGCCCGGTTTACAAATGTATAGCATGAGATAACACACATGTCAGCGGCACTTTTTTGAATGCGTACCGAACTCGGTAGCTTATCTGTGTTCCACTGATAGACAGAAATAGTGCAACCTATTTTTAGTAGTGTGTTATCAGACTGAGTGTTGAAGTTTCCAAAATCTCCGTGATGCAATCTTAAATTCAGGCGTGGTAAGGTGTTCACATCGATACATGTGTCCGAAGTTCACTGAAATTAACACAAGGGAAAACCACAAAAACAAAAAAGATCCCCCTTTGCCACACTTACATTCAGCTCATCCGCTCCGGAAAGATATCCATATTCCGCATAACTCGCCATGGTTGTTCTATCGCCGTGTGTGTGTTTGCTGTGCAGGTATTCGCAATCTTCCAAACAGGTCTCCGTCGACGTCCAACGCACCTCGTCCGTATATGCAGGCGACGACACCAGGCAATCAATAACAACAGTGCAACAATAACAAAAACAACACCCTTGAATGCCTCTTCGAGCCACACACTTTCACACCCCTTGCTCCGTTGCCCTTCACTATCGGAAAGAACAACTCCGCAATCTTCACCTTATCGTGCTTGGACGATTTCCGAAAACCTTCTTCCTTCCAACTCCCCCACCATAGATCACTTCACTTCACTTCACTTCTTCCACCCAGCCAACCGAGGGCAAAAAACACGCAAAATTCACCTTCCGTTTTAATTTCCCTTCCAATATTATATTTTGTCGTGACGAGTCAAGCAGAAGAAAATTCCCCTGCAGGTCATTCTCTATAGGTCGCCCCCCGTTTCTACGGCATATCGGAAGGCTTTCCACCCACTGTCCGTCGCCACCACCGATTCACTCCGCGGAAAACTCGCAAACCGAACGCAGATTTTCACGACGATTTCCCGTTCCGACAGCCAGGCACCACCGAAATTCGCATCCACAATTTTCTTCTAATTTAATAATAACACCGCATCACGACGACGGCACCAAGCAGAGCAGCACAGTCAGTACCTACAGTATGTGCAAACGATACTCTTCCACTACTGCGATGCCGAGCGATGATGAGCGAGCGAGCGAGCTATCGTTTGCTCACCACACGCGCACAAACACACACATACACATACAAACCCGTTTGCAAGTGCCCTGGCTGTTTTCGATTGATTCAGGGATTGATTGCTATTTCCAAAGCACAGAAAAAGTCTGGTGAGAAGATGCTCTCACTGCCACTGCTCTTTACTGACACTGATGGAATGTGTCATGCAGGCTGACAGCTCACGACTGACACAATATGGTTGGCAATGGTTGCTTTGTTAAAACGGTTGGAATACAGTTTTGCTAAAAACACGATTTCGGCATGGCGAAAATAGTTAAAGGTAGAATGAATCGAAACATTGAGCTATGTGATGATTGTTGAGTTTGGTTCGAACTGATTCAATGAACGGCCAAAGTCTTTACTTGAGTCAACTTAGATTGACTATCAAAAATTACATTTTTTGTAATTGATTCAATGTTTAGTAAAATAGAATTATATTGAAATCATATTCAGCTTGAACAGAAGGAAATTATATTCTGCGTGGAACCAAGGAAATAAGAAAATTATACGCGTTTCACAAGCATATGGGAAACGCATTCATTGTGCTTCTACCGTTCGTTCGACGTGTTGCTACATGTATCAACTGAGCATGGACTACGCTTCAGATAGGGTACGGGAGATTTGAAACAAACGTTGACATGAACTGTCACCCGCATACAGATTTGTCATTCCTCAAGCTGCTAAAATTGTTATATCTTTTTATTATATGGGTATGGATTTGAGATTTTTTAAGGTCGATGCGAAACGAAACGGATTTTAATTCATTTATTAATACATAAAAAAAAAATACGAACAATTTGATGCAAACCGACGCACTCAAGCAGAAGTGAGAGAAAATTATAACAATGTGGCCACTGAACCTGGAAAACTGAGAGAACTGGGAATGGAAAACAAACAGGAAAATAACCAGGAATTTGACTGGAACATTAACATTTAACTTTTCTATTATCCAAGTAGCAATCGGCTATATTCTGATGGTTGCTCAAACCACCCTGCCTAGCAACGCGTGTTCCCTAGCAACGACTTTGTTAGGGGATAAATTTTTCTTATTGCTAACGTGTAAACCGTACGAACAAGACGTATTTAAAAAAAGCCTTAGTTTAGTTTAGCTTAAGTAGTTCTCCCGTTTTTCTTTTGAGTCCCGTTCAGGTAACGGAATCCAAATATTTTATAAATAAATATTCAAAGCTAATTATCTTGATTACATCTCTTAGAATTTTTGATATTGCCCCACAATTTTAACGTTTTCTTTCCCCACAATTTTGAAATATATTCTCAACTGAAGTCTCAGAATTTTGACAATTTGGTGTAATGCTGGATCCTGAATGTTGGTGTACTAAAATTATAAAACTTAAACTTATCTTAACTATTTATTTGAAATTTATCTCAGAAATATTTGCGATCTTCTCAAGAATTTCCAAAAGATCATTTAAAAATTCATTGAGCCACAATAATCTTATGATTGTGAATTACCTATAAATGTTCTCCATGAAAACCGAAATTCTATGCCGAACACTTTAGGAATTCCCTCCGGAAAATTCTTGAAATTCACTGTACGTTTTGAAATATTCGATATAAGACGGATTTCACGCCAACTCATCCAGTGGTTGGCAGCACCCTCTCAGAACCTTATGGAACTTTGTGGGTGTGGAGACTTAGCAATTTTAAGCAACTTTGCGTACTTATTTTTTTCAAAATTTATCTCGCCTAACATTTGATAAGGGTCAAAGTTTTTTGTCGATTTTTTTTTTCAAATCGATATAGCTTAAAAATGACAAGCCCTACAAAAAAGTGATGTATGGCGAACTTTTAGCAAATAATCTGAAATTTTATAAAAAAATTTAAATAAAATAAAAAATCGGTTTCTACACTCTAAAAAAATATATTTAAAAATTAAAAGTCATTTTCCCAAAAATGGTACCCATCAGATTTGCTTGATATTTTTTTTCATGAAAGGCAATATAATTACCTAACTTTTCTTCATACATCGCAAAGTGGGCGCTTTTAAGAAAAAAAAGTTGTTCGAACAACAACTTTTTCATGTTAATTTTTTTTTTAGCGTGTTTCACTCAAAGTCGAATAGTAATACGCGCACAACCTTATTAAAATTCGATTAAACTTTATGGGTATACTTTTCGATAATCTGGGCGAAATCTAGCCTAACATTTGAAAAGGGTACAGAGAAGTTACCTGCAAATCGTCCAATAAGAGTTCAGAACAAAACGTTCTAATGAGGAACAGCCATCTCAGCATGGTTTGCACTTTCCTGTGATGGATTGTATTATAATATATGCATACACTCTATCCAACTTCTATAAAACCACCCTCAAATTGTTCCAAATCAACAGGTAAACTAAGTAAAAATCACTTAGTATGTTTTATTCATGAAAAGATTTCAATTCATGTATTTGTGATTAATTTAATTAGAAAAATAATCATTCATTTATTTTTATGTATTAGGTGTGTCCATTAGTAAGCAATATGCATATATGTTTATACCTCATCTCTCAAGTGAATACATATAATAGCGCAGGTAACTTGACGATTATTTAAGGCATGCCTAAAATAATCGTTAAGTTACCTGCTATATAGCAGTTATATAACAACGCAGGTAGTCACATGAGAGATATAAGGTATAAACTTAAAGCACCACAGTCTGTTTCTACCGACATAATCTAATATTTAAGTTTGGTGATATCACAACAATGCTCATAGTTGCTGTAGTGCATAGTTGTTGAAAGTGTTCACTCAGCTCCGACCAAAGCATTGCATACTGTTGGATAGTACAGGTACACATAATGTATGTGTCTGTACTATACATGAAAATGTTAAATTGATTATTAATAGTGTAAAATTTGATTCATATAAAGAAATTGCAGACAAAATACTTTGCAGTAGTCCTATTAGAACCATAGATTGTTTTTATCGTACATGTGAAGAATGCATTTCCACAGATAGTATCGTGAGGGAACTTACATCAGTATTAGAAGCAGATGATATGGAAGAAGTTTTATTTCAACAGTGGTTGACTACCGACCGTTGTAATTTGGAAACTATTATTAAACCTGCAGATGAGTTTGTTCAATATTTGACGGAAAAAGTTGAAAAGCTCATAACCCATGATTTTATTCATAAAGAGCAATCATCTTACCTAAGTAATAAAAAAAAATCTCTTCAAAACGGTGAAATTTTAGTGATTTGCGACTTTTCTGAAAATTATTCATTTATTATTCAAAACTCAGCACAGGGGTATCATTGGAACAATAATCAAGCTACGATACATCCTTTCGAAATTTACTACATAAAAGAAAACAAGTTGGAAAATTTAAGCTTTATTATTATTTCAGAAGTATTGACCCATACAATAGCAGTTCAATTATTTATATCAAAATTGTTAGATTTCATTAAACAATCTATTAGTTTCACAAAAATTACTTTCATGTCAGATGGAGCAGCGGCTCATTACAAAAATAAAAAGAATTTTGCCAGTTTGTGCAACTTCAAGTCCAAGTATGGATTGGAAGCAGAATGGCACTTCTTCGCAACGTCTCATGGGAAAGGCCCATGTGACGCAATTGGAGGAACTCTCAAACGAATGGCAAAGAGAGCAAGTCTTGCTCGAGATTATGGAAACACAATCACAACTCCACAAGAACTGTATGACTGGGCAGTTAAACAAACAGATACAAGCATAACAAAATTGAACTTCTGCTTCATATCAAATGATCAATACACAAAGATGTCCGATGAACTCAAGGAGCTGTTCAGTCATGTAAAAACTATACCTGGTACACAAAAATTTCATTGTTTTGTACCTATTTCTCAAAACATAATTTCTACTAAGCGATTTTCACATTCAAAGGAAACTCCGAAAAATTTCACTCTGTTTCCGATAGACTAATAATCAATGATAGGAAAATAAATTATGCACTAAACAAAAACACTTGAGTTTTCATTTATTAAAACACCATTCGAAATGCAGGAAAATCCTCTGTATTAGGCCCTTTCAAATGTTAGGCTAGATTTTTGTTTTAAGCACGCCCAGATTATCAAAAGGTCAAAATCTTTATGCTCATTAAGTTTCAACGGATTTTAATAAGGTTGTGCGCGTATTACTATTCGACTTTGAGTGAAACACGCTAAAAAAAAATTAACATGAAAAAGTTGTTGTTCGAACAACTTTTTTTCCTTAAAAGCGCCCACTTTGCAATGTATGAAAAAAAGTTAGGTAATTATATTGCCTTTCATGAGAAAAAATATGAAGCAAATCTGAGGGGTACCATTTTTGGGAAAATGACTTTTAATTTTTAAATATATTTTTTTAGAGTGTAGAAACCAATTTTTTAATTTATTTAAATTTTTTTATAAAATTTCAGATTATTTGCTAAAAGTTCGCCATACATCACTATTTTGTAGGGCTTGTCATTTTTAAGCTATATCGATTTGAAAAATAAAACGACAAAAAACTTTGACCCTTATCAAATGTTAGGCGAGATAAATTTTGAAAAAAATAAGTACTCAAAGTTGCTTAAAATTGCTAAGTCTCCACACCCACAAAGTTTCATAAGGTTCTGAGAGGGTGCTGCCAACTCCGAAGACGAGTTGGCGTGAAATCCGTCATAAGCAAGGGTAAAAGGAGACTGATTTTCTTCAGTTCTTAAATAACTTTACGTCTGTACTTTAGGATATCCAAAAACCAAGAGAAGGAACAGTGGTGTTTATTCTGCCTTGAAACCTCTGACAACAATTTACATTTCACTTTAGTATTTTGGCTGCTTTTGACAATCGTCTATTGCGATATTTCGACTGTCCCTACACTGGACTAAATCAACTTGTTCATTTCGAACGGATACTACACGATTATCTTTCAATTCTTAGACAAATGTTGCTTCAGCTTCTGTCCATTATATTCTTTACAGTTTGCTTGGAATATTTCTGGAAATCCCTTGACATG